GACTGTTGCTGGCTGTAAACGATTGAACCACGGCACTAACGACGCCCTTTGTCAGCGGCCATGGTGGCTCTGTTGATCGCTTAACAATGACCGCTACTCACATCTGACCCCTATGGAGATTGGCTGCATAAAGAAGCCAGTCGCCTGCCTGCTCTGTCGACAGGGTGATGGCAATAAAGGTGTCTTCACATCATACATTGTCGCTGACTGAGTGAATAAAGAACGCGGCCTTACAAGCTTCCGGGTTAATTATGCTGAGGGGTCGTGACATCCCGCATTTATTGACCACGTTGTATGAAAGGGATCCTTTTTCGTCCTTCGTATTAGATACCTTATAATTGATAACTTATTTATTGCATTTTGATTCTCGATTTTGATTCATTATTTCCATTTTGCTCTTTGCACGCGCACTCGCACGGATTCGACGGACCAACTCCTCGTTTTTTCGTGAATAGCTGGCATAAAATGTGACGGATCGCGACTAAACTTTCGTACCCTCGAATTAAACAATTGTATACCTATTACCTACCCTGGAAATCTAATGATCCATACCAAAATGACCTTTGACCTGAGACCTTATCTTTTTTTTTTGACCAGATCAGGCCAGAATGGCGGATCCGGGTTTTTCAGCGCAACTCTACGCTTCAATATTTTTGTTATTATTATTTTGTGATTTCTAGCGTACCAACAACGAAAAAGATGTTTGTCCCAAAAATTATGGTGGTTGGCAACGTCACATCCGGAAAACATCGACAGTTTTTCTAACAAACACTCAATACTTGATAGTGTTTGATAAATATCCTTCGCCCCAGTGGGGGGGGGGGCATATGTTACCACCCTGTCGCGTTTTTCGCGTGTGAATAAAAAACCGCGGCGCGTAGCGCCGCGCCGCTTGGGGTAGCTTTTGGTACATCGATTTTGGACAATGTGTGAAATTTTTGACCCCAGGTCATGTCAGGTCAGGTCACCAGGTCAAGTTAACTGACCAAGCCTTAAAAAAGTTTGCAATCATGTCCAACCTGCAGTGTTTGTCAGAAAGGTATTAAACTTGGTGGATTGCATGCTGTTATGGTAGCCTACAATTTGTATATCTCGGATTTTTTTATATCCGTGACCTAAGGTCAGGTCAGTGGCATGACCTTTCCATTACAAGTCAATGGAGAAAAATGAAAATGCCTCTAGATCCGTGTGTACGCATAGGAACAGTCCAAATATTTCAGAATCACAATGATTTAGTCCACTCGTGATGACCAAGGTGTCATTTTTGCTGATAGCCTCTAGAAAGGTCATCCGAGGTCATTTGAGGCTACAAACAGTTTTTGCCAATAACTCGCGATTGGAAAGAGATAGAACGCTGGGGATGGTCTCATTGTGTTTGTCTTGTTGAGACGCATCGACTGATATGCAACATGACCTTTTCCGGTCAGGTCATGACCTTGACCTGAGGTCAAATTTTTAAGTTGACCTTTCAAGATCAAATTATAGTTCATTCGACGCGTCTCGGTGAGGGGAACACGATTCTGGCAATAGAAATGTCGTGGCTTTTTGTAGTCGAAAGTTATTGTCGAAAAACACTTTTCGTAAAAACAGCTATTTTTGGAGTTTTTGCCCTCTGGAGGCTAAACCGTTGACCTGATGACAATATTGATAATGACCTTTTCAAAAGAAGAGTTCAAAAGCTATCGATTGCTTTTCCATGCGTTTTTCTAGCTACCATAGTTCCTGAGATAGCGGCATGTTTTCTGAAAAATATAATGACAATTGGCAAATTTTGACATTTGATGACCTCTAGTGACCCCAATATTGCTCTAAGGTGAAAAATGACCGAAATACTTTCAAACGTGCGTATTGAGAGCTATCGACTGCTTTTTACCGCGTCTTTCTAGCCCTCTTAGTTTTTGAGTTAGAGGTGGGTGGTAACATATGCCCCCCCTCACTATGGCGAAGTTGGCCGAGACCGCCACTGGGGCGCGGGATATACCTCTGAAACAAGACGATGAACCATCGGCATCATGCAGCTAAAAAGGGACCCTAACGCAATAACCATTCATCACACTGCAATATTTTGCAATTATCTGTTCTCTATCTATGGTTGCACTAGGATATCCCCTCACTAGTGCACTCCACGCCATGAGGCACTCGCTGCAATCTTTCAGTCATGGGACATCCGCACGACTGGAACGGAACACATCTGATGCCGTGTGCAACGCTGTGCCGTGTGCATTCCGCTTGACCTCTGCACAAACGTGCAGACACATTCCTACCACCACCGCGATGAGCGAGCCCGGTCGGGTCAGCGAGCGTCGCTCTCTCGAGCCGCGCACCTATAAAGCAGTGAAGACGTGACTCTGACTTGCCGCGCGAGTCAGGCATGGTTAAGACCTGGCTGCTGAGGGGAGGCTGTGCGGTTTCCGGGCGGCTTCTGGGCGACTTCTGTGCGGTTTCTGTGCCGCTGATTCGTTGGGGGAGTACGCCAGCGGCTGCCGAGATATGTGCAACGTCCGGCGTGACACGATGTGACGCCATGACGTGACGTCGCGCCCGACGTGACGCGACGGACGTGACGTCGGACCACCTGAGGTCTATGTGATACGTCCCTTGGTCCAGTAGACCTTGTGGTACCCTCCTGAGCGGGTGACGCGGAGGGAAGTGGCCAGGAACACGGAGGGAGGCGGAGGGAAGCTGAAGAACACGGAGGGACGCGGAAGAACATCAGTCGACAAACGGTCGCCATATTTAAGACAGTGCACCGGTCGAATAATCCGGGTTTGCATCGAGCTTTCAGCATGCAGTGATTGTGAATCTGTTATACTACCAGTTGTGCTGTGAAATTGAGACATTTGGAGTCAGAGGAGACCCGAGCAATATTGTGCGAGCAAGGGAAACTTTTCAGACAATACAGGTGAGCGTAGTTGCCAGGTAGAAGGCTGTATTCCTCCAACGCATCTCTTTTATTACATCACCGAAACAATGTGAACCACGGCTTCAAAGTTATGCAATAAATCCTCCCCGCTTTGTTGTATCAATTGTTGACCTTCCCATGTACTCCACACTGACGTTACCTGGTCTGAGTGCCCGGAATGTATTGCTCGGCCACACTGATGGGTAATTGTGACTGTTATCGCTATGCAAACAATGCCCACCGAGCCTATCATATGCTCTCGACTATTGTGTCCATTGTTCGGTATCTCTCAGTATATATGGTCAGGATCTCACTCGAGAGGCCGGTAGATACCGCCGGCACCCTCCAGCAAGGCTGTTCTTCACATAGTCAGTCAACCGCGACGCTTATCTTAGGAAAGGTACTTAGTGTGACAGACCGAGACAGCTCAGCGTTGGCGACAACTGCCCGAACTGCTCTCACGCTGAGAATTTCGCCTCCTCGAGGCATCCACTGGATAGCAACTGCTCAGCCCATTGGGGACTCACTGCTAGCTGCAAAGCTGCATCTCCATTAACCGGTTTGGACACTACTTCAAGCCGTCTGGCAATTGCCGTCTCATTAGGTGACCACCATTAGGTGATCCAAGCCACCGCCTCGGTGGCAGTGTTAGAAGAGACGCCACGTCGCTGTCTTAGAAGTACCGACGCGCCGTCGGTACACCTTCTGAGACACGTTGACACGGTACTCACGTGACATCGCTGAGGTTCCGGGCCATTTGGGATGGTCCAGCGACTTACACCCCAGCTCGTGAGTGACAGGTGTCCTTGCCAGCACCGCTCGTGACTGCGGCTGCTGACCGTTATCAAACGGAGCCGACCTGTGGTAACCGAGGCGGCGACCTCCCGAGCAGGGTGGCGGGGGCGGGGAGCTGGCTGTCCGCCGCCCGCGTCCAGCAGGGTGGCGGGGGCGGGAAGTTGACTGTCCGCCGCCCGCGTCCAGCAGGGTGGCGGGGGCGGGGAGCTGTCTTTCCGCCGCCCGCCGTCCGTCGCACGCCGCTTGCTGCTCCGTCGCTCACCGTCCACTTCGCTAGGCTAAAACATGCGACCCAACGGTACCGCAAGTCAAGTACGTCTTATCGTGGCTGCCCACCGCCAAAAACGGCTCAGCCCGGCCCGGCTGCTCCACTGCACTGCGTGAATGAGTCAGCCCATCTTTTTAAATGCTAAGCCTCTCAACTCTTGGCGGCGCGGATGGGCGCTGGGCCTTTGACGGGTGCCGGGTGCTGGCACAGAGGTATGCGGGGCTGCGAGTCATCGGGTGTCAGCGGTGTCACACGTGCAGTGACACGTGTGTCAACGTGACTTGACACCTTAGCCGTGTCCTCCCGATGTCGAGTCACGGACGTTCGTGCGGAGGCAAGGGGACGACGGTCTGCTATTCGACGACTCTGCACTCGGCATTCTTACAGCTAGGTGTTTTGTCTTTGGCGAGATGTGCAATGTAATACAGTCGTTCAAATGTTTGGTAGTGAATACGAACATATCAGAAACTCATTACATTAGCATATTATTTATACTATCACAATATTCACCTTTTGATGTGCTGTGTCTCCTCATCGGCTCCTGCAACAGCAGTTCTCCACACCTGACTAAAATATACATAGGTACCGATTGTTTAAAAGAGGCATGTGAAGGTCAGACGTCGCCTTATGCACCTCATATTACCTGCCAATTCCCAACGCCTTCGTGTAAACTGCTTCATGCAATTTGCGTCATGGACACTATCATTGGTGACACTATGTGTCACCAATGATATCAGTGGTGGCTGCAGTTACACACGCATTTCCTGTATAGAATGACCAATCAATCGTTGTATGCATTCCACCGGATGTGTTTCTCCCTGTGTGCGGTCCGTTTCCGTCGCTGTTATTTCCCTGTGGGAACTCAGCGGCGGTCGTTTTCTCTGTGGATCCTCCTACGTGCGTCACTGCTCGTCGGCTGTGCGCCAAGTCGGTGGCGACCTACGAACGGCCGTACCGCGGCGACCTGCGCACTGTGATCGCCGTGCACGTGCCGCTCACCTATATAGCCCGGTGACCGGTGTGTTTGTGTTGCAGACATCGGCATCCCCATGGTGTCGTGATCATCGGAGCGCCGCAAAGGCCGAGGACGGCACACGCAAAATGCGACCGGTCGTCATGACAGCAATAGTGGTGAGTGCTGAGAGAGAGAGAGAGAGAGAGAGAGAGAGAGAGAGAGAGAGAGAGAGAGAGAGAGAGAGAGAGAGAGAGAGAGAGAGAGGGCTCAAACGGATCCCCTTCTTCTTGTTTTTTTTTCGCGAATAACTCGCGCCAAATGCGACCGAGTGTAACGAAACTTTCAGTTCTCTCGAGTTAGTCAATTTTACACCTACCCTTGAAAGTTTTTGACATTGACCGAAATGTCCTTTGACCTGGGACCTGTTTCTCTAAGCAACGTCAAGCCGTAATCGCGATTCGGCGAATGCCAGCGCACATTGTCCGTGCGTTTCCAGTTTTTTTTCCAGTAAATGACCGTAGTAACCCATTTGAGTTTAACATGTTTTAGGGTACCTAGTTTCTGGAGCTGGTTGCGAATTTCGCACCCATTTGAACATTTGAAAAGTGGTTTTGGTGCCAGCGTTAGGTTCATGCTACGAAACTGTCAGTGGTGGTTGACACCCTCTTTGGATAGCCGGCGGAATGCCTATTGATTGACTTGACCTGACCGGACCGGACCGGACCCGACCTACCGGCTACCCCATATGCATATGAATACTAAGGCTTTGCTCAAAGCGAGCATGAAATTCGTAATCAATACCCCGAAACCCCCTTTAACCCGGCACGCGGTGGGCCTACCAGCCACCTTCCACGCGGTGGGGGGGGGGGCACTTTTTTGCCCCCCCCCCGTATCTCCGAAACTACTGGACGGATCCGGAAAATTCAAACGGCGTTCGATAGCCCTGTCAAATTTGTTGAGGGAAACCAAATTTCATTGACCTCGGGGTCACCGATGACGTCACAGGTCAGGTCAAAGATAAAATGTTTCACCGTTCACAGGGCTTCTAGGGAAAGCGCTATAACACCGAGTAAAACGCATTTTGTCGAAAATCAGCGATAAGGCGTCAGTTGTCTAGTACATATGTTGCTATTAGAGGTCACTGGTCATACCAGGTCAGGTCACAGGTCAGGTCACCAAAGGTCACCAAGGGTCACCACATGAGCCCAACTTTACTAAGGTTATGTGATGCATGTTTTATGGCCAGTTTTTCATTTCCAGCTCAATGGTGTTGGTTATAAGACCATCAGGTACGGTTTAGGTCACTTTCTGGTGGAGGTCAGGTCAAGGTCAGGTCAAAAAAGGTCAAATTTCAAAGTTGATATTTTTGCATAAAATGGGTATCGATTCGATGCAGCTCGTCACGGGGAGTCTAATGGTGGTCTTTATTTTGCGCTACGAGGTCTAGAATTGCTAAAAATTGAGTTTGAAAATTTGACGTCATCAATTTTGAACAGTTTTTTTCGCTATAACTTGGCCAAAAAACGAGGTATCGATCTCAAATTTGGTATGTAGATAGAAGGCGGTAGGGACTATCACATATATTCCGGTTTTTTCGAAATTCAAAAAACTTTTTGGATTTTTTTGCTATTATATTCAAAAAATCTATTTTTTATTTTTGGGGGTCAAAATCCAAAAAATTCGAAAAACCGAAATAACAGTTTTGTAGCCCTTTTGATTCCACACCTCTTATGTCTAAAACATTTTTCTGTATCTCTAAAGCTGTAGGCCTGACAGCTCTTCCCGCGAAACCTTTTTTTGGGTCGAAAATGGCAAAAATGACGTCACTCTTACGTCATTAGCGGCCAAGCTATCATAGCCTTTGGAAAAATTTTTGGTCACCATGTGCGCTAGCTGCTCCCGGGAGGGTACTGAAAGTTTGGTGACGATCGGCGCAGCGGTTCTCGAGATATATCGAAAAAAGTAAAGGGGGGGGGGGCAAAAAATGCCCGCCCCCCCCCACCGCCTGGAAGGTTAACAAAGTCACTTCACGAAGTTCTAGCAGGTCCCAATTTTCCCGACCTGTGGGTCATTGACCTGACCTGGAAGGTCAGCCAATGCCCTAGGACCTTAAAATTGGGTATTATCGGCTCCCTGTAGTCACAAAAAACACATCATTTTTTCGCGAAGCTTTTGGCTTGATCAGGGGCCAAACGGCTGGGTTCTATAACAGTTTATCTGTACTTTCACATATAATTTTATTATTATCCGGCAATGCATAGGTCAACATTGCAAACATGTTATCAAACTTTACTTATGCAATTTCCAAATTTTCAAATATTTTAGAAGCAATCGGTGTTAGCTAAAAAAAAAAAACAGGCTTTTGAGAACGACTACCGTTTAACTATCTCTTATCCACCAAGCATGACGTTATTCTGACGTCATTCTCGGCAGACCTAGGGTAGTTACGACTTACAAGGGTTTCTTTAAGCACAAGGTGTCAAAAGGAGGCAGCCGAATGTGCTGAAAGTTTCGTGTCTATACACTGGGCTGTTTAGAAAGAGATTGCAGAATGCGGAAAATGATTGGGGCTCTGTATGAGCCATGGGTCATGCGCAGGTTAACCCGCGCCCTGCTGGGGGTCCTGGATTTCCACGCCCTGCTGGGGGGGGGGTGTTTGAACACCCCCCCCCCTTCTAACTCGGCTCCTGGGCCACGTAGCGATACGCGGAAGGCGGCGTTCGAAAGAGCGTCAAAAATAATGACGAAATCACTTCGGTCAATTTTTTGGTCAGGGCAAAGGTCAGGTCACCAGAGGTCATTGAAGGCAAAATTTCGCCGATTTCCAGGTCGAATGTCGAAAATTTCCAAGAAGCCAACGCATAACTCGGGAACCAATAGAGCTACAGCGCCGCGGAAAAGCGCATTCGATAGCCCTATTAACGCCCTTTCTGAGTAATTCTCTCAGATTTGACCTAACGTCAACGGTTTTGCCTGCAGGGGGCAAAAACTGCAAAAATAGCCGATTTTTTCGAAAACAGTTTTTCTGCAATAACTTTTGACCCAAGCCTTGTACGAGCTTACTTTTACCGCCATCGTATTCCTCTCGTCAAGACGCATCGAATGAACTATAACTTGACCTTGAAGGGTCAACTTGAAAATTTGACCTCAGGTCAAGGTCATGACCTGACCGGAAAGGGTCATGTTGCATATCAGTCGATCCGTATCGTCGAGCTGAACACATCTAAGGCGTTTTCATCGCTCTAGAATGCCTCTATCAAAAGTTATTTGCGAAAAACTGTTAGATACCATTCGTGACCTGAGATGACCTCAGGGCATAAACAAGGGTCACGGACACCATTTTCAAGTTCAGTGTGTCTAAAACACTTGTAATTCGGTGTTTGGGAGTGTTTATAATGTCTTTCATCCAAAAGAGGCTCATTTCAATTTTCTCCCATTGACTTATAATGGGGAGGTCGCAAAATTGACCTGACCTTAGGTCATCGATATCAAAATTCTGAGATATACATTTTGTACATGCTATTGCCCTTAGCAATCGCTGAAAGTTTCAAAGCGATCGGTCACTCGGTGTAGCTATGACAGACATTGAAAGTTTTTATGAGGTGAGGTCACTTCAAGTGACCTGGTGACCTGACCTTGAATGACCTTGGTCTGAAATTTTCACAACATGTGTAGAATTGATGTATGATAAGGTGTACCAAAAACGGCGGCGCTCCGCGCCGCCGTTTTTGAGATATTCGCGAAAAACCACAAGGGGGGGTGTTCAAACACCCCCCCCCCAGCAGGGCGCGGGTTAACCTGAACCTCATTGGCAGAAGTTCAGTGCTTGTTGAGACCAGAATAAATGTTTGGCCGCCATTTTCCATGCGTTGAATTAATGTCGTATAATCTTCTCGGCATCGTATGTTAACTTCAGGATCAGCCCGTGTCCGACGCGTGCTACGTATTCTTAGCATGACATAAAAAACCAGCATAATTTGTGGTCTCTGATGTAAGTAAAATCACAATAACTAAGTTACAAAGACGCACGGTTCTCCACAGAATGAAGCTCATCATTAACTAAACTCCTCGTTCACTGTGGCAGCAAGAGATTATTGCTCCATTCAGTCACAGAACAAACGTTTTTTTATGTCTACCTACATATACTGGACAGAAGGATTGATCAATGACGGACTGAAAAATCTGAGATGTAGAACATCACTTAGTGTAACATGATTTCCCATGGAATGATAGTAAAATCTCCCAGCTTGTAGCGGTTCTGTCGAAGTAAGAATATCTACCAAAATGAGGCGAGGGCAGTACCTATAGGTACTCGACTTTGCTAATATCCTTCTTGATATTCAAGATGAAGTGCACATAAACCTCTCAGTAATATCTGCCATATCACAATGCGGAATTAGTATGCCATAAAACAGTGCATCGTTTTTCCCATTCCGAGTTGGAACATGTTGCCGTCATCACCTAATTAGGTGAGGACGGCGGCAGGTTTCTTTAAAGAAACCTATACTGCTATGTTTTTAGCGTTATTCAGTGACCTTTTTGGGACGTTTGAAGTTTAGGCTTTGGCTGCAGTTAGCCCTCAAATATGCTTCTTGTCTTTGATATTACCTGCTGAGTTGTTTTATGAATTCATGCATAAAGATCTATATATTATTCATGACTCAGTTGCATGCTCACTTCATGGGAACAAGAACATGTTAGTTGACATCAGTGTTTAAAGTATGCTGAATCGATCCGCAGATTTTATATGAAATTAAACACCATATTTCACAATTCGTGTCGTTGATTGTTGCTGATGACCTGTGTGCTTTGTTCGTGGTCTGTATAGGTACGTTTTGCTGGAGCCTGATGACTGACGGCTGGTACTGGTGACTGATGGCTGATGTCTGGTGACTGACGGCCAGTGACTGAGGACTGGCGGCCGGTGACTGATGACTGATGTCTGGTGACTGACGGCCAGTGACTGAGGACTGGCGGCCGGTGACTGATGCCTGATGTCTGGTGACTGACGGCCAGTGACTGAGGACTGGCGGCCGGTGACTGATGACTGATGTCGGGTGACTGACGGCGGGCGCCTGTCGGCAGGTTTTGTTGGTGTCGGCTACGGTAGGCGGCGAGGACAGCGGATCATTGTCCCAGATGGAGACTGCACTATCCAGTCAGCGTTCCCGACCAACGCATCGGCAGAGGCATCGGCACGGGAGCAGCCACCTCAGGTCAGTGCGCCGCCAGCCGACCCTTGCTCACTGACCCAGTGCAGCTACCCGGTACAAGTGATTGGTGATTGGTGTATTTATCACAATGCTTGGGTAACTATTGGTATTTGGTAATATGCGCTATATGCGTTGGCAGTGGTGTCATCCTTTTATGTTGCTTAGGTATAATATCATTTGTTTGCTTATTTCTGAACGGTACATTCTGCATATTTTTGTCCTCTGAATAAAAAACAAAGCCAACACAACCACGATACCCATAGGTCATACTTAATGAAAAAATCACACATATCAAATAAAGCTTGAATTATTGCTCAGCTGATAGCGATGCATAATGCATGTTGTTTACTAAATACTATCCCTGTTCACGAATTAATATTGCTAGCCGGAATTGCACTGCACGTCCAGATTCCCAAACCTGTCATTCAGTCGGCTATTCTGTTTCTCAATGGGAAACTGCACGATTTACGATCGACCTATAGACGTGATTACATAGCCGAGATTGTTGTGGGTACCTATGTGAGGTCAAGCTCACCATTCACGTCAAAAAGTCAAATGGGGTCCGGTATAGGTACAAATACATAGCTCTACTACATGTATCGATACGGCTTGCAGTTGGCATCCTTGTCCCTTTTCCGATGTGTCTTGCTGCATTGTGCATCGGCGCAGTCGCGGTTTCCGGAAACAATCGTGCCGGGGGTCCTCCGGGTCCTTGTGTGTGGGTGAGGGTGGGGGAGGGGGAGGGGTAGCTCCATCCCCCCCCCCCACCGACATCATTTGCGCGGCGCTAACATCCCCGCAGAGTGCGCTGCGGCCGCCCGGTCCCCCCGGTCGCAAACAAATAGCCTGTACGGGCGGAAAGCCGACGATCCTGCGTGATGGGTCATAGCGTACGGCGGGGGTCGTGACCTTACCGATACATGGCAACACCACTGTCGGTCGTGTACCTTGGGAGAGGTGCTGGGAGCTCCAGCGGCGCCGGGGGACAAACAGTCAACAGGTATCATCTAGCTGTGACCTTTTGCTCTGGAGATTCCGCGTACCCATCAACACCACCGAGCGGCGCCGCATGGGGACAGTCATTTGTCAGCGCAAAGGTTCCGGTTCCAATTAATAGGCTTTAGATACAACGGGGCTTAGTGGTCTTACTGTTGTCAGGCTAGGCATGACAGATGCCGCAGAAGGCATGAATCTGGTCATACATGAGAGACGACGATGGGAGTGCATTCATTATAGGTTGCGGAGTCTCTATGATTATTCATAAGTGCTTAGTTGCCGCAACATCATGTCAAATATTCTGCATAATTTTAACACCGGATTAGCTAATAGGGTTGTAAATGTTTGCACAGTGAATGATAATGTGTAATGTGTAGACATGATAATGTGGAAATCCAAGTTTATGCCTCCCTAAGTGGAGTCATTCATTTTGAGAGGAAACTAATGAGTGTGTTATCATTACATATTGTATGTTAATGAGCATAATTAATTGCAGGAAAGACAGTTTAGGCTAGTACATAAACAAGGTCAATCTGGCGAAAGTGATCGTTTTGTGTCCAATGGATTAGAAGTTTTGATTATAACTACACCTCTTATTTCCCAAACGTCAAATCATAAAACATAACTACATCTTCCAATTATCCCATCCGGTTCATATAAGTTGTGATACCTTCTAAGCATTAGCGATGTATATCATGAATCAAGTGGAAACGCTGCTGAAACCATGCAAGGGTTACACCCTTCGCCGACGACCGTCTGTGTGTGTCTACCCGCTGGCTGGGCTACAGAGTCTGACCTCTCGTCTATTCGAGTCTGATCACCAACTATGTTTCAACTATGTTAATTCGATTCTGACCCCCAGTATATACTGAGTCTGACCTGCCGTCTGTTCAGAGTGTGTTCGAGTCTTACCTCCATGCTGTTACCGAGTTTGCCGCCCGCTTGTTGTTCGAGTCTGACCTCCGGTCTGTTCGAGTGTGCTCAAGTCTGACCTCCTGTATGTACCGAGTCTGACCTCCCGTATGCACCGAGCCTAACCTCTGGTCTGTTTGTGTCTGAGCTCCCGTATGTACCGACTCTGACCTGCCGTCTGCTCTCGACAGGCACAGTCGCCGCCGGAGCCCACAGCTGCCTGTCTCTGCTCCGCTCCAGCTCCCCAGCGACCTCCAGGAGTCGGGCGAGCGCATCGAGCTCGAGCACGGCCGTCGCCGCTACGCCGAGCCTTCGGGTGACTTCTCCGTCTGCTGCCCGGCGGTGGAGGAGCGCACCAGCCCCAAGGCGGGCACGCGGCGCGACGGCAGCCTGGCGCTGCTCTACGCCAGCGACGAGTTCAAGCAGGTGTTCTTTGAACGCTCGTGTGACACTCGGGGCCCGCAGCCGCTGCCGCGCCGCCGCCACCGGTGCGCGCAGGAGTACTCGTACTCGTACGCAGTACTGGACATCAGTGGCAACAAAGTATTGGACCTTATCCGAATACGGAGTGGGTGTCGGTGTGAGGTGAAACGCCGCTCAAACCGGCGCCGGAAGAAGCGGAGGCGAGACCGCAACAAGCGGGCAGAGATCCGCCGCAAACGGCGACGCCAGCGAGGGTCGCAATCTCAGACGAACGCTCGCAACGCGTCATAGCTTTATAATAATTATGTGATGGTGTTTGGCTGCAAGGCGTGTCTGACATGTGAATAACAAGTATCTCGGCCACGTGAGTGATTTCTGAGTGCCGACGGCGGCGGCTGGACACTGTATGACGCTGTGGCTCGGCGCGCCAACTCATGTTGATGCGAGGTCTGAGCAAATGGTTCCTATGCGTGCTCTGTGCCACTGCCACTGCGGCAGTTGCTGTGCGCGCCGCGCCGGCGGCCGGCCGGCCGTCACCTCAGGGTGCGCGCTCGCGCCGACGCTGCTCCGGCGCCGGGGCTGCTAAGGCGTTGTGCCATGCGCCGCCACGACGCTGGTGTATCACCTACTCGGTGGTCTGCCTGGCCTCGACTGAAAACACTACATGATTTCCTCATGATTCTGTGTAATGCCCAGAGAAAACGTGCGCGTGCTGTACACGGTACAGTTCGTTATGCAGCCACACAAACACAACAATAGTACACCAACCTTACGGCAGCCAGCAGCTAAACGCATTGACAATAACTCGTTCAGTTTACCAACTAACTAGTCTAATGATGGCAAATCTGCAAAGGGTTATGACCAAACACACACAACTTGAGCTGCCTCACACACATCAGCGCAACCCGTGACGAATACCTAAACGAACAACCCTCCCTTCCGCAGCATTCAAGCTCCAATTTTATCCACACCGAGGTGCAAACTGCTGTCATAGCATGCACTAGCTACTAAATAAGTCGCCACATCGCTTTAGCATCGCTCCGCACAACTCGGGTGTTTAGAATATCCTCTGGATGGTACAGCAGCCGTTGTTGAGGTTGTTGAGCGAGATGTTCATGCCGTTCAGGTCGGTGCCGCCATTGGTGATCGAGTACGTGCTCGGGAACGTCAGCGAGTACATCATCTGTCGGAGGGGGCAGAGGCCGTCACGTCACAGCACTGCACGAGGACGTCACGTCTCAGCACCGCGAAGACGTCACGTCACGTATGGTTAGGGGTCTGAGAACGCGGTACTTTCTGAACCGAGGGGTGGGAAATGGGATCATGATCACGAATGGGAAGGTTCATTTTCGGGTCAACAACAACGCTGTCAAGTTTAGATCTGCAGCGGTCTTAGGTCTTAGGTCTTAGGCAGCGGTCTTCATACTCGACTTAAGCGCATATCAACCAGCTGTAAAACCATGCAACATTCAGCTATGAAGATAGGCATCAGTCGCCATGCTAAATAAGCCATTGATATTCGTATACAAACTGCAAGGCACGATATAGGACGATACGTTTCAGATGGTCATCACAAAATAGGCACACACCTAATCGCATGACGCATCTTCAGAACTTGGTGCATTTCGTTAAAACCATAAATTTATATAAAATTTTAGTTTAACATATTTGAGCATTTGGTTAGGACTGCTCTGAAAAAAAAACTCGATGTTAGCCGTTCTGTTGAGAGACCTTGCTTTTCTTTCTTATTGTTTGTCCAGTTATATGTCGCGAACGGAGATAAGCATTAAATCGTATTTTTTGCTCACAAGTGGGACTTGGCCGCATACAATATGAGGTTCTCATTGAAAAACTATGCTCATTATGATAATTAGCGCAGAGCATTTCATTGGTTCTATAGCGGTGAGATGGGGGAGGGGGACGAATTCGATTCGCGCCAGAGGGCGGTGGTCAGATCGCCATACATCAGGACGCGGGGACATTTTTATGCCTGATGGCATTCGAAAGAACGCCAAATAATTATGAATTAAGTACTCTTTTAATTTTATCGGTCAGGCTAAGGGTCAGGTCGCCAGAGCCCGAAGGTCATGAAAGGTGAAATTTTCCCGATTTAGACATTCTGGTTCAATTTGGTCCATACAGAGGCTCTCGTCAAAGAGCAACATTGTCGTATGAAAACTATGATAGCTATCTTGTAGCTTTTCCACCAATGTGTTCTAGATTTGACCTAGGATGATTTGTCTTACATGGGACAAAAAAATGACGTGATTGTTGATTTTTTGTTATAACTTTCGACACAAATCTTGTGTGACAATTATTTTGCTTGTGTATCGTGTTTCTCTCGTCAAAACGCGTGAAGCGAACACAATTTTGACTTTGAAAGATCGTTAACAAATTTGACCAAAAGGTAATGTCACCACCTGATCAAAAGAAGCAATGTTGCATGCGCTCCGTATCGATGACCTGAGCATATCCAATTTGTTTCCATTTCTCTGTTGCACAATGCACATCTATATCAAAAGTTATTGCCGAAACCCTCCGGTGATCTCTCATTACCTTCGATGACCAGAGAAAGATGTAAATATTTACATCCACTGTTTTTGTCTGTTGCGTTTGATGTGATATTTCAGATCAGTGGGTATATTATGGCCAAAGACCTCTTCCCATCTCGAAAGTGAGAGGGCATTCGTTAAAATAGCAGAGGACAATATGTGAATGAAAAGCCTTGTGAAAACCTATCATAATCAACCATCATCGCTAATGACCATCTGCTTTTTCCATCGGAAAACCTACTTCTTTTGCTTTGTTACTCTTACGTTATTTCCCAAGCACTTTCGGAGCATGTGAATGCATTAACATATGTGAATAGAAGTAGTGGGTACTGCCAGGTGAGGTATATGACAACATGGTCACTGCATTCGTTTGCATCCTATTGTCATTGTGCAATGACGCCTTGTCTGTAATCCTACCACAACTGATTGTCATGTGAAAAATCACGCCCGTTTCGTGATAATCCAATTAGTAATGATTTATTGTGGGCTCCACCCCGATTCCCGACTCAGACACTATCGGCAGAATGCTAATATTATCCAGCATTGTCTTGCCAGTTTGTTTATGAGAGTTCAGCCACTGAATATCTCACTGAATGTCAAGTACAAATTGCTAATAAAACGGGTTTGAAATAAGGAGTGTCGTAAAACTGATGAAAACTAGCTTGGTGAAAACTAAAAGCTAAGAAGTTCAAATAATTTAAAGTATTTCTTAATTTTTTACACTTGGCAGAAGGATGCAATTGTCAAGTAAATGTTGAAAGTTAGCAAGCAGCCATGAGAGGCACTAAACTGCTGTTTGATAGATAATCGTTATTCCTAAATGTAGTAACACCCGACGTGTCGCTTATTCGCTACATCTGAGGTCACTTATTAGGTACTATATTCATTAGTAGTCATTACAAATTTTGCTGCGGATTTGGATGACAGAAAGCGAAACGTGGCGCCATTGATATGTAGTATGCAATTGTAAATTTGTAATGTGCAATTAACGGCAAGTTAATAAGAAGTAGAACCAATCACGTAAAAGCCGATCTGCGGGGCGAAACTAAGGCCACAGGCGAAACGTTTCAAATGCTTTGCTTCTTACGAACGGCAAATTAACTATTGTGCTCCGCAACAATATTATCGGCAGGTTATCATTGAATTGCATTGATTTGATACCTAACAGTTTTGCTAGAGTTATTAGGTTCAGCGTTATGAAAGGTAATTATACATTCAATATAGCATTTAGAAGTCTGGAAAAAAGTAAGTTTTAAATGCGAAAGGGACGAATAAACGAATGAATCAGAATTACATTTGTGTGGTATTTTGTTTGGTTTGGAGCTGTAAAGTATTCCTTTACGTAATTGTCGCTACTGCGCCATTATCGCGAGTTTGGTGGCCGACGCTGAATATGGTAACCGAACTCGACGCCATATTGTTCTGTACTGTGTTGAGCAGTCTCGAAATAGACGCCTGAAGGGGAGCACGCTGCCTATTGTTGGAGAGGACCGGGAAGTTACTGCGAAGGACACGCCTACCGGGAGCTGAAACACGAAACATGGTGCCGAAACCCCCATCAAGGTTTGATTATGCCATACCAGGTAAATGGAGGGATTGGCGTGCGGAATATATGATGTACCACCGGCTCTCAAAAGTGGATAAGGAAGATGGGGACTTTCAAGTTAGCTCACTGTTGTACTGCATGGGTATGCCTGAGTCTAACCACATCTTTGAAATGTTTGCTTTGTCTCAAGAAGATGCGAAGAAGTTTGCAACTGTTCTGGCTCGGTTTGATGAATATTTCGAGCCTTGTAAGAATGTGATTCATGAAAGGGCAGTCTTCCATGATAGATCCCAGAGGCCAGGAGAATCGGTATCAGAATTTTTGAGAGCATTGCATGTGCTGGCACGATTGTGTAACTTCTCTGATCAAGAGGGCATGATACGAGACAGATTTGTCATGGGATTAGCCGACAGAGAAGTTACCGAACAATTGATGCAAATGGAACAATGTACTCTCTCGCAGGCTGTGCAGATCGCTGGAAGGCGTGAGATGGTGAGAGGTCAGCTGAATCGGCAACCACAGCAGCAACCACAGCAGCAGCAGCAGCCAGTGGAGGTGAAGCTGGACAAGCTGGACTACAGGCGGCAGAAGCGTGAACAGCCCAGACATCAGAGCCGACAGCCTCCCAGGGATTCTGCGAACTGCAGCTTCTGCGGAGGACATCACAGCAAAGGCAAGAAATACTGCCCAGCTAGTAACAAGGTCTGTTCGAAATGTGGAAGGAACAATCATTTTGCTAAGGTTTGCAAATCACCAGAAGTACAGGAACTTGTTCATGACATACAAGAAGATACTCTGTTTCTGGGTCATGTAGACGCTGAGCGGTCACCGTGGATCGTACACTTGAAACTGTGTGGGAAAAGGTTCCGTTTAAGATAGATACAGGAGCTGATGTCACTGTAATCAGTAAGGACGCTTACTCAAAGATGTCTTGGAAGCCTGCGCTGCAGCCCGTGAAGCAAAACCTGACTGGTCCAGGGGGTTCTGTGTCATGCTGTGGCTCGTTCAGGACTCAGGTCAGGTTTAAGAATGAGTTTCATCAGCTGCATGTGTATGTTGTTGATGGTCTGGACAGAAACCTGCTAAGTCGTGAGATGGCCGTGCAGATGAGGATGGTGTGTCGCATTGATGATGTTCTGCCAGAAGGCCCTGCGGAGGAGGAGCCCCTGGGCACGATGGTCGGTGAACCAGTCCGGATCCATCTCCGAGAGGACGCCCAGCCCTACTCTGTGAGCTCCGCAAGGCGCATCGCGTTGCCGCTCCTGCCAGCGGTCAAAAGGGAAGTACAGCGCATGCTCGATAGCGACATAATTGAACCTGTTACCACTCCATCAGATTGGTGCGCCCCAATTGTGCCTGTAGTCAAGAAAGGTTCAGGGGATGGTGGAGAACCGAAAGTAAGGTTGTGTATAGATTTTAAGAAACTGAACCATGCCATTAAACGTGAGACATACCAGCTTCCCACTGTTGATGAGCTGATACCGAGGCTTGCGGGAGCCAAGATGTTCAGTGTGCTTGATGCTTCAAGTGGATTTTGGCAACTCCCTCTCCACAAGGATAGCCGCCACCTGACGTGCTTCATAACGCCCTTCGGCAGGTTCCGCATGAAGCGCCTACCTTTTGGCATTTCCATAGCCCCGGAGGTGTACCAGAGGAGGATGAACCTGCTGCTGGAAGGCATCGAAGGAGTCGCCTGCTACATGGATGACGTCCTCGTGTTCGGAGCTTCTGAGGAGGAGCATGACAAGAACCTGAAACAAGTTCTCAAGAGGATGAAATCGGAGGGACTGACCCTGAACCAGAGCAAGTGCCACCTGAGACAGAAGAGGTTGAAGTACCTGGGACACATCGTCAGTGAAGATGGCGTAGAAGTTGATCCCGCAAAGGTAGCAGCAATCCAGGCTCTGAAGAGACCATCGAACGTGAAGGAGGTGAAGCAGTTGCTGGGCATGGTGAACTACTTGGGCCGCTTCATCCCTCAGCTTGCAGAGACACTTCGACCCCTCAACGATCTTCTGCGGAGGGATCACCACTGGACCTGGGATGTTCCGCAGGAGCAAGCACTGGAGGCGGTGAAGAGACTCGTGTCGGAGGCCCCCGTGCTAGCCATCTTTGACCCTAACCTACCCACTGTCCTGGCAGCTGACGCCAGTAGCTATGGTATGGGTGGGGCACTGTTTCAGGATCATGGTGATGCCGGACTTCGACCTATAGCATTCTGTTCTCGTACCCTGTCCTCATGTGAGCAACATTATGCACAGATCGAAAAGGAATGTCTTGCTATTACCCATGCATGTGAGAAGTTCCACCGATATGTTCATGGGTTGAGAAAGTTTACTGTTCTTACGGATCACAAGCCTCTGATCCCACTCCTTAATTCGAAGGACATCGATCTGGCTCCGGTTCGCTGTCAGCGGATGCTGCTTCGACTGATGCGGTATGGGTTTGTTGCTGAGCACTGCCCGGGGAAGCAGATGGTGGTGTCTGACCTGTTGTCTCGACAGCCCTTGGACGTTGACTCAGGAGACACCCGCCACGAGGAGCCTGGTGATCTAGAAGAGGAGGTCCAGCTGTACGTTGACGCCGTGGTGTCCGGTGTCCTGGAGGACGCCAAGCTGGAAGAGGTCAAGTCAGCTCAGGAAGGCGATCCAGTGCTGAGGAAGGTAGCAGAGGTCACGGAGAAGGGATGGCCGGCTACAGCTACTGAACCAGAGGTGGAGAAGTTTCGAAGCCTTCAAGACAGCCTGTCCGTGGTGAGCGGAGTGCTGTGCTACGGATCCAGAATCCTGATTCCAGAGTCAATGAAGCGGGACGTGCTGAAGCGGATCCATGCTGGTCACATCGGTTTGAACAAGAGCCGACAGGTGGCCAGGGAGAGTGTGTTCTGGCCGAGGTTGAGCGAGGACCTGAAGAACTTCATCGAAGGATGCGACTTCTGCCAGGCTCAACGACCCAGACAGCGGAGTGAGCCACTGATTCCGACACCCTTGCCGGAGAGTCCCTGGAGGAAACTCGGAGCTGATATTCTGGAGCACAAGGGAAAGTCGTACCTTGTGATTGTTGACTACTATTCCAGGTATCCTGAGATCCTGCAACTATCGTCAATTACAAGCGAACAAGTTATCCTGAAAATGCAGTCTGTCTTTGCGCGATTTGGATTGCCCTGCGAGCTGGTTACTGATGGAGGGACGCAGTTTACCAGTGCGCCTTTCCAGGAGTTTTCCAGGGAGTGTGGCTTTGTCCACACGGTGACCAGTCCGCATTTCCCGCAGGCTAATGGGGAAGCGGAACGAGCGGTCCGCACTGCGAAGCACCTGTTGAAGCAGCCTGATCCCTGGATGGCTCTTCTCGCCTACAGAGCAGCACCTCTGCACACTCTGGGTCTCAGCCCTGCCGAGCTGTTGATGGGGCGGAAGCTGCGGACGACCGTCCCGATGCTACCGCAGAAGTTTCGGCGACCGGACGATGAGGTCAGGCGAGCCGACGAGAGGCTCAAGATGAAAGGTAAGAAGAATTTTGATAAGAGAAAGGGAACAAAAGTGCTGCCTGACTTGATGCCTGGTGATAAAGTAAGAGTAAGGACTGATCAAGAGAAGGGGTGGAGCTCACCGATGACCGTTGCTTCAAAGGAAAGTTGTCGTTCGTACTGGATCTCGGATGGTCAGGGACAGTGGAGGAGAAACCGTCGTCATCTTTTGGGTCCGTTACCCATCGCCTGTACTGACGTCGCCGACACCCCGCAGATCGCCTCTGGCGAAGTCCGAGCCCCGAGATCAGCAGTCCTGCCCAGCGGTACGTCTAACCGGCCCGGCGATGACTCGGCAGACCGTCCCGGTGAAGGTTCGGCGACGGCAGACCGACCCGGCGAAGGCTCGGCGACGGCAGACCGGCCCGGTGAAGGTTCGGCGACGGCAGACCGACCCGGCGAAGGCTCGGCGGACCGGCCCGGCGAAGGAACGCCGGGAGCAGCGTCCCGGTCCGGTGACGAGCGGGGCCGAGTTACCCGTTCCGGGAGAGTTGTGAGGCCGCCGAGGCGGATGGATCTGTGAGGCGTTTGTCTGTGATCTCAAACTTGTTTAAAGGGGGGAGATGTGTGGTATTTTGTTTGGTTTGGAGCTGTAAAGTATTCCTTTACGTAATTGTCGCTACTGCGCCATTATCGCGAGTTTGGTGGCCGACGCTGAATATGGTAACCGAACTCGACGCCATATTGTTCTGTACTGTGTTGAGCAGTCTCGAAATAGACGCCTGAAGGGGAGCACGCTGCCTATTGTTGGAGAGGACCGGGAAGTTACTGCGAAGGACACGCCTACCGGGAGCTGAAACACGAAACAACATTATTTTAAGTTCAGAATTTACTGATTCAGCATTTAATACAAGTTTCTGAATACCCGGTATTGTCATTAAGACGTTTAACCCTCTCCGGACATATTGGTTTTCTACATACGCGCCGGCCGAGGGGGGGGGGGGGCGGGTACGACCCCCCCTCGCCGTTTCGCCCCTGGTGGAGCTAGCGCGTCGCGGAAAAACGAGCGTGTGCGCCGTTACGAGACGCAGAGATTGGTACCCAATTTTAAGGTCCTAGGTCAACTGGTGACCTCTGAGGTCAGGTCAAGTGCCCCAAGGTACGATTCAGTTTTTGGTGAATAACTTCGCAAAAAAACGGCCGCAGAGAAGCGATTATGGCAGCATCGTGTTCGCCTCGCTCAGGCGCGTCGAATGATATGCTTTTTGTCCGGGTCAGGTCAACTTGGGGTGTTGACCTCAGGTCAAGGTCAGGTCAGCACCCCCAGGTCACGAAGTTGGTCGAAAGAGGTCATGTCGCATATCATTCGATTCAGCAGGTCTTCCTGAGTCCATTGGTGGCTTTCCCGACTCGCTAGCTCAATTTGATCAAGAGTTATTGACGAAAAACTAATATGACCTTGATGACGTCATAAATGACGTCACGCAAGGTCAACATTGCAAAAGTGACGCATCTAACCTTGCAAGGAGTGCATCAAATCACGGTTCTGTGTGCTTGAGATAGTTGGAGATCGTTCCCGGCGCCAGAATAGCAGTTTTCATTTTTTTCCCATTGACTTATAACGGTGAGGTCACGAAAATGACCTGACCTCATACGACTTTTAGGAAAAATCCGTGATATACAAGTTGTGAGACTCATGATGGATACGAAATCCTGCAAATTTCATTTCCCTGTGACATCTCCTCTGGCAGTGAGGGCGTTGCGAAGTTGCGACATCTGAAGACCGTGCAGAGGTTCACTTATGACGTCATAGGTCAGTGACCTGACCTGACCCAAAAATGCGATTGGTGTCAAAAGATCCGGCTTGAATCAAAGGTCAGGTATGCCAAGTTTGAGCTCTCTATCGCCAGCGTGTTTGGAGCTATCGCGAAAAAACCCTATGGGGGGCGGCACCCGCCCCACCCCCCTCGGCCGGCGAGGCTCTCCGGACCTATCGCTTTTTTTTTGTCTAGCGCCTCGGCCGATTGGGGAGGGGATTTGATAGAAACCCCTTGTCGTTTCGTCCCTAATTGAGCTAGAGCTTCACGGAAAAAACTTGTGTATGCGTCGTTAAGAGACGGAGCCACTGGCAACCAATTTTACAGTCTTGACTCTTGTGTTATCCGGTGACATCAAATGTCAGCTAAAATGCGCCAAGGCACGGGTTCGGTTTTAGGTGAAGAGAGCTTATGATGCACTTGTTCAGACACTTTGCATTTGCAAATTACATTGACAGCTCATCGCCACTCCAGTCTCAAGTCAGGTGATTCTCTAAAACTGTGTCACTAACGGTTACCCTTTGCTCACCGGCATCTCAATAAATTCACACACGCGGGTACAGAGACACCATTTGTACCCAGAGCCCTCCAAAACAGCAACAGCCCCCCCCCCACCTCCCACCCCTCCCTCCCTCCGTCTCACCTCACTAAGATCAAATGTGCCACTGGAGGCCAGCGTTTCGAGCGAGTCCATGGCACAGTTCTCGTCCCCTCCTGGCTTCAGGAAGAGAGGCGTGGTCGTGTCAGTTACCAGGTCACCGAAGGCGTTGCCCTGAAGCATGACGGGTTCTCCGTCCCTCTGGGTCAGCACAAAGTACTCGTTGGCCTGTGCTGAGTTGAATTGGGCCGTGTAGCAGATCGCCATTCGCTGTGAAAATGAGAGGGAGGTCAGGTCGCGGTGAACGGTGGAACGAATGTCAGAGGGTGGATAGACACAGATGTTGTCTAAAACGCGATGTAATTTTTCGCACTATGCAAACTTGACAGACAGTGTATGGACGGGCGTAGTGTGTCACAAAAAAGGGGTACCTATATTGCGGCTGATTGACCAGGCACTAACTGCAATATGAAAGCAGACTTCAGCGTGGAGCATCCGAGCGGCAAAATGGCCTGTTTATGAGCCACAGTAATGTACTGTCCTCACCACCGCATCGCTGTTCTCTTATGAGCTCTGATGCGCACTAGACTTGAGAACCCTCAGGTCAACTAGAGAACCCTCAACCCTCAGGCCTCTACAAAGTGCGGACCCACCAGTGCAGTGCTGCCGCCAGAGCGCTCTATGCGTGGACCCACCAGCAGGTACTGTCACCTGAACGCCCCCGCGCGGACCCACCAGAGCTGCCACCTACCGGCGCCACTGTGGTCGTCGTCGTAGTCGTCGTTGTTGTCGTTGTCGTTGTTGCTGCTAAATTAAACAGGCTGACGTTACTTGACGCTAACTTATAACTGTTGAGCATTCCTGCTGTGAGCAGAAACGCGCCTCCGAACATGAAGAGCGAGAAGAACTTGTAGCGCTGCGACACGACGTACGGCAGCAGCAGCGCCACCTTCTTCACTCCCAGAGGAGTGGTCACCGTGATGGGAAGCAGTGTCATGTCGCAGTCGACGCCGCGCACCAGCACTCACAGGAAAATGCTCGCGAACGCATCTGCCGCGCGCTTAAATCCGTAGTTCTTGTGGTGTAGTGCACCGGTGCGATGGTAAAAAGAGGGCTACGGTAGCAGGCAGGGCGACGTAACGGCCGGGGGTCACGAGTGTGGGATTCACCGGTCACGACTCGCTAAGTCAACCGGAAGATCGTTAAAACTGTTTGAGGTGGTATGGTATGCACAGTTTTTGTCGCTGACAATCTGCGACGAGCTGTACGCACGCGGCACGATGATGGCGAGATTCCATGCTTAGCTCCTACGTCGTTTATGCAGAATCTCGGAAACCTTTTGTTTGTTTGTTTTGTTGGGTTAGGCCCTTTCGGTCCATTAAGACCATTTCAGAGCCGGGAGGATGATAGGATATAGGGGGAGACATTGGTCTGGGCAGGCACCCTAGTGAGTCGCCGGGGCTGAGCCCGTCCAGAGGACAGGCCACCCAGCCCCAAGGCACTCACTGCACCCGGCTACGGGGTGCGCTCCCTCGGGAGCAGCGGTGCCGCTCCAAGGGAGCAGCCCGCATGAGATAAAGATGCCTGTCCAGCCCGGAGGGGGTTGCGGCGTGGGGGAGAAGGATTTCAGTTTCCTGAGGATAGAAGCATGGAACGGTGCTCGGAAACCGTTCCATCCTGATTCTTGAAGTTCCCGTGGTCGGTGGCGGTCCTGCCAACTGGAGGGAGGCGTCCAGCAACAGGTGGCTCCATCTGCCTGACCGCGCCGGTGACCGCCAGGTGACGCTGCGGGTCGATCGTGACTCTTCGGAGCGGTCCCCGTCCGCAGGGTCACGAGCGGAACGGGCGCCAGCAGCGATTATAAGCTAATGTTGCAGGCGGTGCTTCGTGGTCCTGTGATGAGACGCCAAGGAGACCAACAACAGCAGGCTTGCTTACTATGCAGGGGCGTTATTGTAGCAACACCAATCGGTTTTCTACATTCGCTCCCAGCGAATCGGGAGAGGTCTGGTGAATCATCCGCCGTTTAGCCCCTAATTATTACGTTGCATTACGTTAACTTGACCGGCATCGCGTTTCTCGCGTCGAGATGCGTCGAATGAACAATAAGATAACCTGAAAAGGTCAGTCTCCAAATTTGACCTCAAGTTCATTGAAAAGGTCATGCTGCATATCAGTCGATTTGTATTGTTTAGCTGAACGCAACAAAGGTATTTTGATCAGCCAAACATGTTTTTATCTAGAGCTATTGTAAAAAAGCTGCCGGAGACGTTTCACGACCTGAGATGACCTCAGGGTCATAAAGAGGGATCACGGGTGCAAGTTTTCGATTCAGTGTGTCATGTTTACCTGCATCCCGATCTTCAATTGTTTATTAGTTTTGGTCCAATAGAAGAGCAGAGGTCAGTTTTACCAACAACAACAAAAATAGCCGCCTGCCGGATTTTTTTTTTGCCTTAAGACCGTTTCACATACGGAGCGTAAACGGTAAAGCCCTATCCGGCATCCGCTTACGTGTCCATCGCGCTTAACCCGCGCCCGGCTGGGGGTCCTGGATTTCCACGCCCTGCTGGGGGGGGGGGGGGTGTCTGAACACCCGCCCTTCTAACTCGGCTCCTGGGCCACGTAGCGATACGCGGAAGGCGGCGTTCGAAAGAGCGTCAAAAATAATGACGAAATCACTTCGGTCAATTTTTTGGTCAGGTCAAAGGTCAGGTCACCAGAGGTCATTGAAGGCAAAATTTCGCCGATTTCCAGGTCGAATGTCAACAATTTCCAAGATGCCAACGCATAACTCGGGAACCAATAGAGCTACAGCGCAGCAGAAAAGCGCATTCGATAGCCTTATTAACGCCCTTTCTGAATAAATCTCTCAGATTTGACCTAACGTCAACGGTTTTGCCTGCAGGGGGCAAAAACTGCAAAAATAGCCGATTTTTTCGGAAACAGTTTTTCTGCAATAACTTTTGACCCAAGCCTTGCACGAGCTTACTTTTACCGGCATCGTGTTCCTCTCGTCAAGACGCATCGAATGAACTATAACTTGACCTTGAAAGGTCAACTTGAAAATTTGACCTCAGGTCAAGGTCATGACCTGACCTGAAAGGGTCATGTTGCATATCAGTCGATCCGTATCGTCGAGCTGAACACATCTAAGGCGTTTTCATCGCTCTAGCATGCCTCTATCAAAAGTTATTTGCGAAAAACTGTTAGATACCATTCGTGACCTAAGGTGACCTCAGGGCATAAACAGGGGTCACGGACACCATTTTCATGTTCAGTGTGTCAAAATTACTTGTAATTCAGTGTTTGGGAGTGTTTATAATGTCTTTCGTCCAAAAGAGGCGCATTTCAATTTTCTCCCATTGACTTATAATGGGGAGGTCGCAAAATTGACCTGACCTTAGGTCATCGATATCAAAATTCTGAGATATAAATTTTGTACGTGCTATTGCTCTTAGCAATCGCTGAAAGTTTCAAAGCGATCGGTCACTCGGTGTAGCTATGACAGGCATTGAAACTTTTTATGAGGTGAGGTCACTTCAAGTGACCTGGTGACCTGACCTTGAACGACCTTGGTCTGAATTTTTACAACGTGTGTAGAATTGATGTATGATAAGGTGTACCAAAAACGGCGGCGCTCCGCGCCGCCGTTTTTGAGATATTTGCGAAAAACCACAAGGGGGGGGGTGTTCAATCACCCCCCCAACAGGGCGCGGGTTAAGCTCCGTATGTGAAGCGGTCTTTAGGCAAACAATGCCGGTAGGAACTATTTTTCTGTTATAAGTCAATAGTTAAAATTGAAAATACATTCACGAATGTAAGTACCTACGCACCGAATTTCCTTTCATCTAACACCTGAGGTCTCTTCAACAATACCACATAGACCGATGCACCGGTGTGATACTGTAATTTGTATGGCAAATCTTGTTTTTTCCTTAGGTCAAGGAGACGTCATTTTTTTATGTAAGCACCAACAACATGCAAACGCTTTAAAAGGTGAATGTAACACTGGCAGAAGAATGCTTTCTCAAAAAAGGGAAAACGGTCCTCCATTACAATTTTGTTGCATCATTATTAATCAGATATCCGGAAGCCCTGACAGGATCAGATAGGATTGCGACACACTGTAGGACAGCGACCAATCAGCGGCTGGCTGCGGTGCATGCCGGTCTAGGGGTCTGTTCCAGTCGCACTTTCTAACACCTCTAAAGTCCTCCGAGATTGTTTCCCTGTTCAAGTGGCAGCTCTAGGCCGTATAAAGCCATAGAGGGTTTGTTTTGTTTTTGTTTTGTTGGGTTAGGCCCTTTCGGTCTGACAAGACCATTGCAGAGCCGGAAGGATGATAGGAATTAGGGGGAGACATTGGTCTGGGCAGGCACCCTAGTGAGTCGCCGGGGCTGAGCCCGTCCAGAAGACAGGCCACCCAGCCCCAAGGCACTCACTGCACCCGGCTACGGAGTGCGCTCCCTCAGGAGCAGCGGTGCCGCTCCAAGGGAGCAGCCCGCATGAGATAAAGTTGCCTGTCCAGCCCGGAGGGGGTTGCGGCGTGGAGGAGAAGGATTTCAGTATCCTGAGGATAGAAGCACGGAACGGTGTAGAGGGTCCTGCTCCAACCTCCTCTATCTTGCTGTTGGAGGAGTTTAGAGGTGTAAGGAAGTGCGACTGGAACAGACCCTAGGGCTCGTAGTCGGCCGTATAGCCCCGGGCGTCGTGACGTCACAGAAGTGACCCGGCGCGGCGGTCTTGTGCGGCGCCGCGCGGCACTCGGGCCGGGTCGGTCACAGGGGCGGGAGCGTCCGCTCACTGACTGCACGTTGAGCGTTGCTGTTGTTAGGTTTCATTCCTAAGGTTGTTTCGTAAGGCGAGCCCTTTTGAAATCTTTCCCTTGCAAAATATTCTCTTAACCGTTAAGTCGTCTGTGTGATGGGCCCTTGCCCGGTTATTATTATACGGTGCATTGGCGTCTAAACTTTGCAAGAAAGACTCTTAGTCAAGCCGTCACTGAGTTCACACTTGACCGGCCTTCAACAACAGTGGCACTAGATTGAGATATTCTCCGTATATTTTCGCCGCCGGGGCTCGCTCGCATTGCTCTCGTCCACCGCCGAGTCGCGTTTGCTTTCCACTCTATCGGCACTTGGCGACATTTTTCTCGCAGAGAACTATTCGATTCCACTCAACTGGCGTCGCTCCACTCCAACTGTGGTGTACGTATGGGGGTTCAGGTCTCTGCTCTCTGCTTTCATTGCATTGTTGACCCTGGATTCGACGCACTCCACTGGCCCTCAGACTGGCGCTCACTTATGGCCTGTACCGCAGTCATTGACCTTGCCTGATCTACCCTGGCCTTGGGGCTCTGGCCACCGCCCCGACAACGAGTGTCCTCTGCTGTCAGCACTGACATCCCCGTCAGTGACCTCTGCTGCCAGCACTGACCCAGGTCTGACCCCGACCCACCCGTCCGTGGACAGGTCAGTGATTGGTTGTGGCTGGACTCTGAGAGCATTCGCCTGTTTGCAATCGATGACACGACACTTTCCGAAAATCGTTCAGCTACGGTCTTATTTTCTGCACCTGGCTAACTAATTCACACTAGGGTGGTCCCATAAGTGAAACCTGGCGGCAGATATATGAACTGTAGGTAGGACCATTCGGTCACTAGGGGCGCTGCGGGCTGCTAAAGAGTTGAGAAGACCGTGGGTATTGGGTAACGATAGGCGCTGCCTAAATCGACCATATCATGTCCGGGGTAACGATCGGTAGTGCGCAGCATTGCAAAGATGCTACGGCTTCCCATCCCACCTCCAAAATTGAAACTTAATGCAGGATGGGTGACCATTCGCTCAATGGATAAGACCTATAATGCACTTTTTACATGCCTTCTTTTTATGGCATCGTTTCGCAAGGGTAATGAGCTTTGATACTGGACACACTTGCATGGGGAACTCGCGCCCATTTGCCTGTCTATTATGTTCTGTGTAAACTTTGGGACAT